GCCGCCGCCGCCGCCGCGTCCGCACGAGGGTCACCAGGCGGCCCCCGCCAAGAAAACAACACGGGCGAGAGGTCGGGCCGCGGCGCCGGCTACATCAAAGGCGAAGCCCGCTGCCGCCGCCGCTGCTGCTGCTGCTGCCGGAGATGGGGGGGGGGGGGGCTTGTCTAAGGAGGGGTTGATGAAGTTGACGGTGAAGGATTTGAGGGAGCGCTGTAAGGCGGCAGGGGTGCCGACATCGGGGAGGAAGGCGGACATCGTGGACCGACTATTAGACGCGGGCCTCGTTGCTCCGTAGTACTTAGCAGCTTGCATGTCTACAGCACTGGTTTACTAATAACAGAACGCGGGTCTCGGTGGTGGCAGTACCTCGTGAATATAGCGGTACGTACTACAATATACAGCGGGTGGGCGTTGCTGCTGCTGTTGTTATTGTTGTTGTTGTTGATGCGCTGAATTGCCGTCGTTCCGAGGCGCGTGTTACCCTTGTTGGAAGCAATGTTTTGCTTGCCGCTATCGAGGAGACGCTGGCTGCCCTTGACAAGCCGCGAAACCGTCACCGGACCGCTTGCGGGACCTGCTCTTTTGGTTCCACGGCTGAGAATAACAACGCTGTTCGTGAAAGCTCGATTTACGCTCATCGCTTGCTACGGTCTTTGGCAAGAGAGAGAGAGAGATCGAGGGACACAGAATCGCCGGCCGCTTGCTTGAGAGGCCTGCTCTTTTGATTCCACGGCTGAGAATAACAACGCTGTTCGTGAAAGCTCGAAAACGTCGATTCTGTCGGCGCTTGCTACGTTTGCTGGCGAGAGAGAGAGAGAGAGAGAGATAGAGGAGGTGTAATTTCTTCTCCGTTTGTTCACCCGGCGGTGTTGCTTTGTCTTGCTTGCTGGTACGGTCTTTCGCGTGGACAGACAGAGAGAAGAGGTGGAGTGTGAATCTATCTCCACTTGCTTTCGCGTAACGTTTTGGGGAGTTCTAATAACAACGCCGCCGGTGATTTCTCCCGGCTGGGAAGAACGATAGGCGGAAGGTTTGGGGTTCTTCCTTGGGGCTTTGGTTGGTTTCCCTGTCTGGTTTGGTGTGATCGGGAAACGTCCGCAGGTAGCAGCCAGCCGAAGAGGCACCTCGTAAGTTTACAGGTTTGGGGAGGGGGGGGGATGGGCGATCTTTCGACAAACGAGTGCTGTCGTCGGAAGGGAAAGTGGATGCGGGCATTTCGTGGAACGCATAGCATGAGGCCGATGTTTTTTTTAGATGTTTTCTTTTTTTAGGGAATAGGCATGCGTGGGTGTGGGTGTGATGTGAGCGTGTAGAGAGGCCATTACGAAAACAATGAAAACTGAGCCTCTACTGCATTCGCCTATCGCTCTAACAAGGTACGATTGTGGCGACGGCGAAGGGGGGGGGGGGGGGGGGG